TGAGCCTGAAAAGGTCCTCAGTGGGAGCTTTCGAGGTACCTTTTAGGGTATTGAGCTGAAAAAAATATGATAGGAGATAATGTGCTGTCTAAGAATTGGTACCTGCTAGGGGTGAAATAAATTTCAAGCCACGCCCACAAAACAGGATCTTGATACCTCTTATCGGTTCTTTTAAAAATTTGCCACGAGCACCCCTGTCCTATTTTTGGAAGTCTCCCTGGGTTGGAAGCGAACAATGTTATTCACTCATGGTCTCCTAAAATAGTCATTTGAACACAAACCAAGTGAAATATAGACTTACAAGTCGGATATTCGCTGAGGAAGCCAAAGTAATCACCATAAGTCTGTTGGTGGGTTTAATTTGTCAAAATCCCACGCAAAGCTACTCTTTTCACATATTTTACAAATGAAAAAGCCATCATTCAATTTCTACACAAATCTTGGTATTGATCCAGCGCTTCTTTTCGAAAAGAAAGGACTTGGAAATAAGTGACGTCCCGGATAAATGTGTTTTCGGAATTATTTTCGCTATTCATCCCTTTTATAATAGAGTGCGTCCCCGCGGGGTTATGGTACCTAAAAAACACTCTTTTACGCTTTCTTTAGTCCATGGTTTTATGATCAAGTTCCCAGTGAGTACCTTGTCGAGAGTACCGAGGTAGTTCAAGGCAAAACCCAGACATATCTGTATTTAATGCAATGTCTGTTATTATGGTGCAATGCCTTTAATTTTAATTTATAGCTATGAGTTACGACAGTGCTTTTTTTAATCAAACGCGTGTTGAAAAAGAAAAAAAAAAAAACAATCAGACGACCGCAAAAAAGGGAGTTGGATATGTTTAATCACGAGTATGATGACCGACCAAAGGATGACATGAAGTCCTGTTGCCAATTAATCAAAACCATAACAAAATTTGTTTACCACAACCCAGTCCCGGATATAACAGTTGAACCCGCGTGGGTGTATACGCAGTGCCCTTCTAAAACAAAATGTGGTTTTACGAAATTTAAAACCAGTACTGTACATGTATTAAACGCCGGATCAGACAAACAGGTCAGAAACGGGAAGATCATATCAGAAGCTGGAAGCATGGAGAGCAAAAGCGTTAATAACTCCAACATTTTCCTCTTTGGCCTTTCGTTCAACTTGATCCTTACGCTGGGTTCACTTGGCTTCACCAGCTATTCTTTGCACCGATTAGAATCACGTGTAACGGCAGTTGAACAAGATTTACTTGTTTTAAATCATCCGTATCGGCTTGATAATCATGGGCTTATTAAACCAACCTCTACAAATTCACCTCTAAATGAAGA